TTTTTTTTTTTTTTTTTTTTGCAGGTTCGTCCTCCATCGACGTATAATCCGAAGAGAAGAACTCCGGCGGCAACAAATCTGGTGAAAGAAGTGATCCGGACGTGACTTTTTCCGGTGAAAATTGATTTTTTTTTTTCCGGCAATATTTGTCATTTTTCCGGCAATATTTGTCATTTTTAGAAGTAGTAAGTAATGTATGCATTATATGAGGATTTTGTAGTCTAAAAATCATCTTTAATTCATATATTATGGTTAATTTGTTGAGGATTGAATTTTGAATCTTGTTGTTCATATTTACCCTAAATCAATAAAATGATCATAATCTCTTTTTCTTGTTCATTTATACGAAATTGATGCTATTGTTAGGTTATGATAAGTGTTATTAAGCCTAAAACAAGAAAATAAGGTGGAAATTTTCATTGTACCAATATTCTATATTATTGTACCTCTGTTCGTGTATATGTAGTACCACTTTAATAGTTGTTTGGTACCACATGTGCTGGGAATGTGAATTTGTTTTTTTAATTTATCCAATTATTGTTAGATACATGGAAGAGGCACAAAGTGATATACTAGGGAGTTGTACCTACAAGAATAAATTGTTTGTGTTCTCTATGCACCATGGATCAATGCTTGACGAAGTCTACACTCTTATTGCTAAAAGGTGGCCGAATGTTAATTTCCAATCTGTCATGCTATGTTATATTGCGCCAAAAGAAAACAAAAGAGTTAGTTTATCCGATGATGGGGATGTTAAAAACATGATTCGGTTACATGTTTTTTGGAAAATTAATATTGTCGAGATAGTTGCCATTGAAAGAATTGAAAGGCCGAATGATAGAGTTCAATCCATCCAGATGAACATGAATAGGTAATGTTGCTTTCATAATAGTAATTAATTTATTATTGAAATATGGTATAGTCATATCATATCCTAGTTCATTAATTTTTTAAGTGGTTCAATTATTTATAAATATTTGTATTATTTTGTCATTAACATAGGGAAATTGTATCGTATGATGATTTCTCGGAGGGAGAACATGAGTTGTTGCAAGATAAATCGATTGATTCTTGGAGAACTTGCATAAAAGGAGAGGGGCAAATATTCAATGGGGCCGATGAATTTCGAAAGAGTGTTAAGAACTACGTGATTGCTAATAGCCGGTCCTTTAAATATAAGAAAAATGACAAGCAGAAGGTCATCGTTTGTTGTGGTGATGCGGATTGTGAATGGAGAATATATGCATCATTATACAAAGGTGACCAGTTGTTTGCTATCCGGAAATGCAATCTCGTCCATACTTGTGGAGTGTCCAATCTTCGGACAAGGGGGCATCCGAAAGCGGACTCTAATTGGGTATCAAGTACAATCAAAGACAAATTGCGAGATGAGCCGAGTTACAGGCCTTGCACGATATTGAAAGATCTTCACAGGGACTACGGGTTGGAGTTGTCTTACAAAAAGGCATGGTTAGGGAAGGAAATTGCCATGCAAGATATTCATGGAGTAGACCGG